CCTGTTCTTCTCTCCCTCCTCTCTCTCTCTCTCTCCATTTCCAATCTCCCTTTCTCTCGTCTTTACGATTTCTTTCCGTTCTTTTTTTATCTTTTCATCGCTCGATTTTTTTCTGTACTCATTTTCCCTCTTTCTTTAGTCTCTCGTGTTTCGCCTAATTCCGTTTAATGGCGGCGAACGTTCTGTTACCTTCATGGACTGTGTTTCTCACTGTGCAGCTTACGTTCAACTCGATTCCTTAGTAAGATGGAGCTTGTTACTTTCTACGAGTTCGCTTTGAAAGCTTGTGTGCATTGTGTGTATTCGTGTGGATTCGTTTCATGGAAAATGCAGGAAATATGGTTAAATTGTAGAGTTGGCTACGAGTTGGCCGAAGTAATTTTCGAAACTGTTGATTGAAAAATTTTATAACTTCGTTTTTATCGGTTTTTTTTTTGTTTTTAGGATTTATTTAATAGGAGCTGTTTTAATTTATGAAAGTTACGAGAGAGGAACTTAAACAAGTTTCAAAATAAACATTTTAATTATAGAATTACCCTGTAAATTAGAAAATTTTATCTTGAGAGAAAAAAGAACAAAAGAATGTCATTTTTCGTATGATAAATTTTATTCGAAATTCAGGTTATATATTTTCTAAATCGACAATCTTTTATTACAAATAGTTTAGTGGTGAATTATAATCTGAATTGATTAGTATAATCTGTGCAGAAACACAAGATTCTGGATCAAATAATAATATTGAATTTTTATTTGAAACATTCAAATAAAAGTTTAATAATTTCGAGGAACATTTGACAATATATCCTGCATAGAGGATATTACATTTATTACATTTTATGCGTGTATACATTGTTGGATCGTGTTTCTGGACGTTTGCTCGGACTTCTCCTTTTGTTGTTGCCTGTGAAAAGGGATATGTTGGCTCGATCATTATTCGTGGATGCTGTTTATGTCAATTTCTTCAATTTCTGTTGCGCTTAGTTCGTGGCACGATTTAGTTCATAGTTTCATAGTTGATGAGTACATTTGCATGAACTTCTCCCCTGTTCCAGTTCTGCAACAGAAAATCACGATTAAGTTTTGAACTCGGATCAGGGATCTTCTTCGTTTTCGCGAAGAAAGTAAATTGAAGTGTCGATGTTTTGCTCGAGTTTGTTGCAAAGCGAAAGAAACACTGAGTTTTGTTGCTTAGAATTTGGATAAATTTTTTTACAATTTGTAAATTCGATTAATTTCTAATCATTATATCTATCTCTATCCTTTTTCCAAATTTTAATCAGGAGTTAGTACGTGTAGAGTGTTCTTGTTAATTGAATTTATTAATTATAAAAGTTACAGATACGTTTTTTGTAATATTTGAAAAAATAGTTGTTTCGATACTCCGTGTATGTTTTACAAGTTCTACAAGTAGAAAAGTTGCTACCCCAAGAGATATTTCTTGCTGCAAAGAAAGAGGATTTAAATATCCTTTTATGTTGTCGTATCAAGTTTATTGCACGTGAAGATACTTCTGCTTTTAAAAGTAGATTCGAGATAGGTTTCAAAAATGCTACAGCGAGCTAGAAAATATTGAAATCGGGTTTCATTGCTTTTCGAGAGTTTGGGAATGGCTCGAAATATCTTCCAACTTTGATATTCCAACTATCGTTACTAATTTTAAAATTTCGCAATTTCTATGCGACTTTTCGGCAACTTTTTTGAACTATCGCTGCGATTTATTGTTATTGTCAAAATCAAGAGGGGGAATAAAAATTTTATTATCGTTAGATTTTTATATCAAGAATCTTCTTCTCTATATTATAAAAATCGAAAAAATAAAATAGAGGAAGAAATTAAAAATAAATAAGGAAAGAATAAGATTGTTGTTGACAAAAACAACAGTAATCACAGAAAACAAGAGGAAAGAACTCGTACTCCTCGTACACTAATTAACATACTCGTCCTTTTCTCCTCCCATTTCATATCCCACTCTTAATTAACCACCCACGTTCATTCTTCTGAAAAAGAAGAAAAACTCTTTAAGAAACCCTTGGCGTGTAACCTCCATCGCGAATTCTTTGCAATCAGAGGCATCCCCAATCGCAAGGTTTCTTGAATAGAAGCAATTACTACTCGTGGAGAAGCCATTCATCCCTCTTTTTTCCCTCCCCAACCAGCGTAATTCTTGATTCGAACGACTATGGATGGCAAATTTGCTTCGAGTCGGGGGCGCATCGTCGAATTACATCGTGTTTGCATAAATCTTGAAGGCGTACGTGGCGCAGGAGGGGGGTGGATGGAAGCGTCGAAAAATATCGAATGGACGATCGAACACTTTTCGATCAGTTCAAGCGGATTTCTTCGATCTCGTCTTCCGAATGCAAATATTCCGAGGCAAGGATTTTTAACCGAAATTTTCTCCGAAGTTTCTTGTTCGATGGGATTTTTGATCCCATCGTTTTTCTTTGTTGCGTGGAATTGTTATTGGATTTTTGAGAAAATTGTGGAGGGATTGATTTTGAATTTGAAAGCATTTTGAAATTATCATAGAATTTTTGACTTTTTAATTCTAAGGGAAATTTCGAAATTGTTGATTTCCTCGAAAAAGTTGAATTCTCTTAATCTTAAATATGGAAAAAAAGAAATTATTCTTATGTGACTGTTCTGACTAAATTTAATTATCGAATCTAATTCTAGCGATGTCGAGTTTCCTCCCTCTTCCTGTTCCGATTTAATGAAGCAGAAACACTTTGTGCCGTGATATCGTATGTAATGGATCACAAGGGAGATTGTCAAACATGCAATCTAGCAGCATTTACAATATTGACCGATTTGGAATCTATCTGAATGCGTTGCAATCGTGATATGAATTAAGCGATTACCTAAAACAAGAATCAATTAATTGATTCGGTTAGATCAAAATTCGAATAAAATCCATCTCGTGTTTTTTTTTTTTTTTCTTTTTTTTCTCTATTTAAAATTGGATTAGAACAGTCTCTTTCTTCTTTTCTTCTTTCTCTGAAATTTCATCAACTAGATGTATCTATCTCTTCCGATAGAGTTTATCACGTTTCATAATCGAATCTCTTCCTTTATCTGTCAGATTCAAAAGAATCCTCTCTCTCTTGTGTTTCTTTGAAATAGAAAGTGAGTATTCCATTTCAACGATCAAATTACAATTAACGAAAGAAAAAGTGTTGTAGGAAGGAGAGATTCTAATACGAGTGTCATAAAAATAGTAATAAAACTAGTAATAAAAAAAAAAATCGTGGAATTTTCGAATTAATCTAAACTTTCCTTCTTAAAATTTTTCACATTTCGACACTTCGCCCCTTTCGAATTCCAATTTTAGGAGTTTAGAATTTTTTTTTTTCAAAAGTTCAAAACCCTTTTTTTCACAGAGAAAATAATATTTCGATAATTAAAAATTCGCCAATAACAAATGCAAAAAAGATGGAACGAACGAAAATCTTTCACTTTCAGAGAAGACCAGAGATCTCGCCCAAAGCGATTCATTAGATATCATTGACAAGGGAAACGTGGCGCTCGTTCTTGTAACGACGAGAAGGAAATCTTGTATCGACGGAGGGGGGGTTGGAGAAGTTTATTCAGCCGACCAGTCGATTCGTTTCACGGGACCGTGATTCCGGGGGATGGGGGATTCCCATGGGTCAATAAAAGCCAGTCACGAACCCTTTCGACGGAAATAACGTTTCACGGTGCACCACCGCGTGTATTTCCTTTACCAGCATTATTTTAGCAAGATTTCACAAGGCTATCTCTACCCCTTGTTTCTCCCCTCCCCGACAAAGATTTTCACGCGTCGATATTTCAACATTGTGAAAGAGGATCTTCGATTAATTTATCTCCCCTCCCTCTTTTTCTTCTTTCTCTCTCTTTTTTTAATCTCTAGTTTCTGTCTGTCACACACGCGAAAAATTGGCGAGCAGTAAAATATGCGGGCTATTTATCTTCATAACGCTGCATCAAAGCTCTTTTCGCGCTTGATATTGTTGGTAGAGGGATAAATCAATTCTTTTTCTTTTTTCCTCTCTCTCTCTCTCAATAATGATTGAAGTTTCGTTATGTGGAATATTTATAACACGAGAATGTTTGCAATTTGTATTTTATTTTATTTGTTGTATCTGTTTTCTGAAATAATTAAGTGGAAAATAATTTATTCGTTCTTGCGTAAGGATAAAAGTTTCTCTCAAATTAAGAGGATAGATTGCAAAAATGAAGATAATATTATAACGAAGAGCTCAAGATATATTATTTTTCATAACATTTTCATTTCAATCCCTTTGAGTTTCAAGAGTTGCTTCAGTTGAAGGATCATTAAATTTCTTCAAATATTTATCTTTCGAAAAATAATTTCGTATTATATCAAAAGTTAGTCTAATCCTATTTGATTTCCATTAACTCTAAAAAATTAATCGACATATACATATACATACTTTCCATTCTGAAAGTAGTGCTCCTCTAGGCATTGCCAATATTTAAAAAATAAATTCGCTCACTTACCTAAGAATTTGATTAGATCCTCATTTTCAAATATTCTCATATTTCGAATTCAAACCCGAATGAATGAATCCATGTTGATCATTGCGAACCACGATGATCAGCTCGAGTAATGACTCGTTAGAGAGTCTTCCAAAGAAGACCTCGAGAGGATCGATGACTCCATTTTTTTTTTTTTTGGAGAGACGCGTGGTAACAGTAGCTACGTACTCGTGACACACGGGTGGAGGGGGGCCAAGAGGGTTGGTACACTTAACACGCGTGTCAAGTGGCTCGGATGGGGCGAGAACTCGAAAAGTGGAGCACCAGTGACAGGAAGACGAAGAAAAAGCTTCACGGTAGTTAGGAAACTAGCGTGCCGAGGAAAACTCTCACTCCCTCTGTCTTCGACTCTCGCGCTTCCTCTTCCTCGCCTTTTGTCTTCGACCCTTCTTTGCATACTGGGCCACCATTATTCCGCCTCTTTCTCTCCTTTCGCCGAGAGATAAAGGAAGGCGCGGGGTCAACCTCTGTGCGATCGTCTCATTGTCTTTGCTTCTAAGCTTTTCGAGCTTACCTGATATTTTTCTTTTTCTTTTCTTTTCAAACGTGTGGATGGGCGAGCTATGGCGATGATATCATGGAAAATTGACAGTTACGATTCTTGTATACACGTTTTTTATTATTAGAGTATTATTATTATTTAATCTTGTAATCCACAATGATGCTCTTTTGCTTTTATTGTCATCGATAACTCGAAATGTAATTTATCGATTTCATTTATCCAGTTACGTTATGGTTGGATATATATATATTTTTTTTTTAGTAATTAGAGAAATTAGAAGAAGGTGTTCAGCATGAAATTTCGAGGATTTTATAGATTCGGGGAAATCCGATAGTGTAAGGTTACAGTATAGCTGGGGTAGTTGCAGTGGACACGTAAGAAAGGATGACTCACAATTTGGTGATGACGTATGATACAGTTTTATCTTAAAAAAAAAATTCTTAATATTCAAGAAAAGAAAATTTTTTTAATAAATATTTCGTGATGTTATTAATTAATTAATTAAAAAAGAATCAAAGAATTTGAAAAGTTTTTTACAAAGATTTAAAACATAGCCACCAAGTTGCTCGTTATTTATAAATCACGTTGCTCGTCACTGATTCAGACAGATTCTAATTTTATCAAAGCACATAATGTATATCCTCTTCGTCACGAACACCCACAACACCAGTGCAGTTTGCGTGAGCAAACCGATGTTCCAGAGACAATGGAGACAAAGTTCAAGATATGTCTCGACGTCGATATTTTGGTTAAGATAGTGCTTTTTAAAGTTTCTAATTTTAAAATAGGTTAAACAATTCTTATGCTTCTGGCCATAGGGAATATTTTTAGTTTATAATTTTTTTTTCAATATTCCAAGTTTTTTAGAAATAGATAATCATAGATATTAAAAAAAAAGGAACTATGAATCAATACGATTCGTTATTAAAACTTTTAACGAGGCCAGTCTGAGAAATTAAAAAAGAAAGATTTCTTCTTTTTCAAGATTATACAAAGTATTTTAATTAAAGTTAGATAAGTTTCAAGGAGTTCACGAACTTGAAATATAAAGAAAGGAAAGATTAGAGGAAAGAATTTGAAAATTTTTGATTACGATAGCTGTCATAAGTGAAAAAAATTTTCATCTTAGAAATTCAAATGATCAAAGTTTTAATGTTTTAATTTTCATCACTTCGATTTCAACACAACTCTTTCTTTTCTCTCAAGTCGTCGTCAAAATTTATATATTTCCAATCTTTCGATGTTTCAAATTTTCAAGAAATTCCAACATTTAAATTTTTATTATTATAAGACTTCAATTATATTTTGCCAAATTGCATTCTGCCATTAACAGTCACAAAACTCGGATAAAGTACGAAACTCAGTGAACATTTTTAAGACCTATAATAATCTCTTCTTTATTTTCTCCAAACTTCCAATCGTTACCAGTAATATTTCACAAAAAAAAAAAAAATAAAATCTCGAACGACCTGTTATTCTCCTCCATTCCTAATGAACACCTCTGTCCACCCCATTTCCACCTTTCAACCAGCTCTCCCTTCTCTTCCATCTTTCTTTCTTTGTGTTCTATCAATCTGGTTCGAAGTATCGAGCCAACCTTTGTCTTCGATTCTCGAAAGGTGGTTTTGCAAGAAAAAAACATCGCTCTCGAAACGGTTCACTGGTTGAAAACTGAGAAAAATGACAGGAAGGGATGGATAAAGATTGAATCTCAATTTTCCTCGGATCTTTATCCTCAACCCTTTTTTACGTACACACGTGTATATTCACGTTCGTATTTCGTATTCATCTTTGAATACATGCGATGTGGTAATAGATTCGTGTTTATTCATTTTTTTTCTTTTCGATTAATGAAATTATTCAAAGAATAAATTGTTCATATGAATTTTGAAAATTAAAAGATTAGATGTAATGTATTTTCCAGTATTTTAAGAAAAGATATTTACACATTGGATTGGATATTCCATCATATATGAAAAATTGTATATCATTAAGAAAATACGTGATATTCATTTTTAACTTGCACATTGTATCTAGTATTTTATTTCACAACGATATTATCATTTTGTTCTCCATAGATTTGACAAAATGATAAAACAAACTCTATTAATTTATTATCGAACCAAAGAAAACGTGGCAGAAAGGAATGGATAATAATGAATAATAGTACTTTTTAATTTCTCTTGGTTCTTTATCCTCCCCTGATTTGCATCATGTGTGGGAGTACTTATATATTCACTTTCATATTTCATCAGGCTTGTTTCTGTCGCTTTCGAAATTCCACTTCGCATTCCACGTTTCCTTCCACCTCTTCTTCTCGCCGTCCATCTTCATTTTTTTCTCGTTCTTCATTCTGTTTCCTACCCCCAATCAAACATGCAGCGGGGGAAACTTCTTTTGGACAGGTTTGAAAAGGTCGTGATTCATTTTTTAACAGACGTAGGAGCGCGATATAAGAATAGCTGATTCTTCCTACCCTCTATGTTCGTTATTGGAGTTGAAGGGGTTGTTTCTTGCGGAGAATGGATGTTGAGATTGCGTAAATTTTGTAAATTTTCGAGGAGGAATCGTGAAATTTTCAAATTTTTCAAGCTTCAAATTTTCTTAAAAACCTTCCAAACTTTCAAATTTCCTCTCCATCTTCTAATCTTCCAAAGTCATATCAAATTCAAATATATACAAAAAAAGGAAAAATCCTTTGAATTTCAAAATAATTTCAAATTTTCAATCGCCATCACCTCGTATTAAAACATCCCTATTCCAATTCCACCTTTCGAAACCGCACAAATTTCTTTCATTTCCCCTTCATGCCTACAAATCTTTCCACCCGTTCAAAATTCCTGTTCACAAAATCTCCAAATTCGCAGAACCACGCCCGTCCACCATCCTCCCCAAGCTACGTAATATCGCAATGCACGCGCAACATTGTTTCGCCAGGTCGAGGAAATTACGTCTAGGAATACCTTTCCTCGCTCATCCCCCACGTTCCACGGCCCAATATTTCACAGCCCTGCTCTACATATTGCGCTTGTTAGAGCCTCGTTTCCCGTGCCAGAATCCGTGTCTTGCTTTTCGTTGCCACGTGACGCTGTCCCACTCGTTAAAGTCGAGCTCGTTTCGCTCGATTTTATAGGGAGACACCGAGGACACCTCGAGGCCTTGTGCAACTCTATACCTTTGATCGAATTTTCTCTGTTGTTGGTGGTTTGCACCACTTCCAAAGTGGTTGGGAGGAGAAATCGATTTCATCGAGTTTCGAGAAGTAATTCTTTTTTTTCTTTTTGATCCGACTCGAAAATTTAATCAATATTATTATTATTATTCATTTTTTTAAAGGGATATTTTTTATTCTGGTTGATCTGGAGGAAAGAAATTTAGAAGGATTGAAAAATAATTTTAATTTGAAATTGCGATCAGATGAAGTTTGGAAGATTTGGAGTTAGAAATATCACAAAACTTATTGGTTATGTGGATAAATTTAAATATAGATAGATTTAAGATATTTATTCACTATACACTAAGACTTATTATTTTTTTATAGAAATTTCTTATGAATAGATAGGAATTTACAAATTTTTATAGTTATAATCTATGGTCCAGATATATCTAAAATAAACTTACTAAGCAAAACACCAAAGATCCACTCTCGTGAAATTATTTTAACAGGTCTTAAAAATTGTACAACAGTTCCCAATTCTTTCAAACTAACAAAACTAAGTTCAAATTCAAACAATTCTCCTCCACAAAGAAGAATACAAATCCAAGATAACTCTTAGATTCGACGACGAACTCATTAGTCTCCCAACTTTATCCCTTTTTTCATTCACCATCGAAAAACTGGCACTTCCCACACCCATCGATGGATCATTTCCCGAGGGTGTTCGCGCTAGTTTAATCTCGAGACCAACCGTTCGAAGGCCGTGTTCACGTTAGAAGGTGGCAGGATCCTCCTCGTTCAACATATTGAAAACGCCTATCCTCCCCCCCACCCGTTAAATTAACGTCAAGCCTCGCCGGTATTTAGGCCAACGGCGAGATCCTCCTCTCGTGTCTCGCGCCCTTCGTTTATCAATCTTTGCCGCAAAAAGAGGATCGTTCCACGGTTTACGCGATTTTAATGAACGAGGAATTTTTCTGAAACGTTGTCGAGGAAATTAATCGAGAAAATAATTCGTTTCTGCAGAAGTATCGAGAGTTTGGTAATTGTTGAAGAAATAAAAGTTAGAGTAAGAAGAAGAAGAAGAAGAGAACTATGGTTATTATGATGTATTGGATTTTTAGTGATTTTGATAGAAATTTTGATACGAGAATAGGATACGATTTATAGGCTGAATTTCTGAAGCACCCTGTGTAATTTGTTCAGTAAGTTTCTTTATATATAGTGGTAGATTCTACAGTTTGACAATATTTAATTAATTATAATGATATAGGTTTACTTTTTAGTCGACATACACGAGACGAAGATTTTTCTGTGGAAGTCGATTCGCAGCAATCTCCTCCTCGTTCCTCCCTCGTTCACAATTCTCAAAGAGAATGAATCACAATTTGCTGAACCACTGAAGCGACAACGAGAAAGCTATTTCACGTTTCCCTCGTCTCATTTTTCACGATTATTAAATGTTTGAACGACACGATTCTCTTCTCTTTCTCTTGACCCTTGTTTGAGAAAAGGAGAAGAAGAAATTGAATAAAAATTCGTCGAGGCTTATTTTCGAGGCAAACAATGCTGGATATTCCTTTTTTTCTTTTTTATTGGCGCAAAGAGTAATGCAATTTGGCCCACTTTGTAGATCCCTTGCTGGGAGATCGTTGCTCGATCATAGCTGGCGAATTTAACTTCCAAGGTTAATAAAGCTTCTTGATTACCGCTCTTAATTAAGCTTTGCTCTTTGAATACGAGCTATCCACCGTCGTGATTCTCTTGGTAAAATCTTGGATAAGAGATTTATCCACTGCTTCTTGAACTTTATCGTTTTATAGAATACGAATTTGTGATTAAAAGTGTATAGGTGGATAGATATAGGATTACGTAGTTTTCGCTACGATTAAAAAAATTAAACTAAGAGATTCGATCGATTGTTATT